AATATTAAGACATTACAACCATTACCTCAATAATATGAGTCATCTAAACTCACAAAAACATATTTTTCAGGATGGAAAACTTGGAAGATAAATGAAAACACAAATAACACAATTAAACGCTTCTTCAAATCAGAATATAAGGCTCCAGAGTTCTTTTATAAGAAGTATCTGAGCATAAGACTTTGCCAAGTATTCTCAGCATCAACAAGGCCCTCAAGCACCTACAGAGTGCCGGTCACTTGAGACACAACATTAATGGTGCTTCTGGCTGCCAAATGTAGCTCTTAGTAAAATGACTCGCAAAGCACATTTGCAGAGTGCATGGATGCTGTTAGATCGCTTTTACTGGGGCATGTACCCCAGTATTGATCTGCTGTGCCCCAGTAAAATCTCATGTGCAAGTTCTAGCAACTCCTATATTTGGCAGAGTATTAATTTAGATTGATAATAACAGGAAAAGTTATATATATATATTAAGGGCAGGTACATGGGACAATAGGACAATAGGAAATTGAGTTTGGCTCCCGTTAGAGATCTGTATAAATGCATATTAATGTAAAGCCTGATGAATAATGCAGTACCCTGTTTTTCTGATATATTATGCTTCCTTGATAGAGGACAGGACATGCAAACACAGACAGATGACTTCACACATAGAAAGCAGGAGCTCAGAGTGATGGGGAGTGGGTGAGGGTTGGGTACACCTTGCTGAACAAACACTTGAAATGTGCTCATGTCTGCCTCTGTCCTCCAGGCTTCCTGCAGGAGCACCATGAATGGACAATGCGAAGGCTGGACCCATGAAGACAGACCTAGTAGGTAGTATTAGGTTAATACCTAACCTAAAAACACACTCCACTATTTTTCGAATACCATACCATTCCTAAATCTCACATTCCCAGACATTAAACCAAATACCTGCTTGAAACAATGATCATAATTTAAACTAGCCTACATTTATTTACTCTTTGGTTGGAATGCTAAAGGGCTGTCTTAGAAGGCAGTGTTTCATCGCTTATTATTGTATAAAACAGTCAGACCTGATGTAAAAGGCATGAATTATTCTGTTATATCTTTCCTGCAGCTTAACTTTAACTCTATTTAAGCTCCATTTATTCATAGAATGTTTGATTACAAGGATATTTGTAACATATCAGACACATGCATATCCCACACCCCTTCAGTGATCAGTGCTTTTCCTATATTTGTATATGACAAGTAAATCCTGATTGACATTAACTCTTAACAGTTTTTCAGTGCTTCAGTTTCAATCGTTTTAGGAGTTTTAAGTGAACATACATAATGTACATTTCCATGCTGTCTAGGATGGGTTTTAGGCTTCCTCCTGCCACACTGTGCTGGAAAAGATGGATGGATGGATGGATGGATAATATTTGACAGAAGGATAAAAAAAATGATGAGCCTTAAGAGGCATGGGTGTTATTTAAATGTAAGCAATAGCTATTTAATTGTACATTCTTTAGGGAAATCTCTGGCATTATATCATGTTCAAAAGGAAAAAGAGTATGATTTAAATAAAAAACAATCTATAAAGAGTGCTTCATCGCAATAATACTGAGTGACAGAGGACTAAATGTCCTTTGGAGTATAATTTGTCTTTGTGTATTGCATATCTTGTGTGATGTACTGGATTTCCATCCACGGTGCCCCCAGCAGTGACCGGCAACTAATAGTTCAATTGGGAAAACATTTCTAGTTGATAGCAACCCTTCCACCCCCCCAAGCCCCCACCAACCTGTGCATCAAAATATACTGATGGGGAGTCAACACCCGCAGCCCCAGTCAGCAAGATATAACCCCTCCCCCCGATCAGCAAAACGAATCGATGGAGAACAACCATTTTGCCCCATTTGTAAAAATAGCTCCCAGTGTAAAAAAGGGGCAGGAGAGCACTGGGTTACAGGCTCAGCGCAGCAATCCAGGGCTGGATAAGCATTTGAAAGATTTTTTTGTGTAGCCTTGGGGCATCACATAGCAGCCCAAAGCCCCCAAAGGCCTTTAGGTGGTATGACGGGTTAAACACTAACACAATCAATGTTGTACTTACCAGACATTTACTGTTACCAGGCAGCCATATTTTTATATGTCAGCATTAATGGAAGAATTTATTAGGGAATTAATTTATTTCTATTATCACTGTGTGACATTCCAGAAGTTATGAGGATCTTAAAGTATAGAATAATACATGGGCCTGTAGACTGGACCAGCACAACACACTCCCATATCTCTCTCCCAGGGTATTTTCTTAGGCTAGCTTCCAAATCGTACACATAGATGACATAGATGAGCACCTTCTCCCAGCTCAGCCGTCTGAGCACTAGTGCAGCAGTGAGAGCACACTCACAGGGCTACAGAGTTACACTCTGCTCCTCCAGATAAGAAATGCTTCTCAATGTCTGTTCTTTTAATCAGAAACTTCCAGAAGAATGCTTCACAATTTTGTCAGGTTACCTATAATTTTAATTTTATAATATTGGTCACAACAGAGAGCTTATTTGTTGTTTTTGCTTTGTCTGGGGAAAAAAAGGTTCTAAATTAAACCGTCGAATGGTTTCAACAGACTGCCGTTGGATAAAATTCCAGGCTTCACTGCTTAAAATGTTGCACATTACATGTTTTGCTTTTGCTGTATCTAGCATGTTATGAATAGTAAACAGAAACATATTCTGCAGTACATGCTTTGGAATATGATGCTTACTCTGCAGTGTACTCAATAGGCTACAGTGAAAATGGGCCAATGAAACAGAAGCATAAAATTGCATCATGCGGGAACCATAAATCCTCCTTCTCATTTTCAATAAACTGTGATGGATTAGCATCCCATCCAGCCTTTGTGTTTGACCACCTTGTTCCCAATGTCCCTTTCCAAACGTGACCCTGCATTGGATAAGCAGTTGTAAGATGAATGGATGGATTTTTAATAAACAAATTGCCTTACACTATGAAGAAGACTGACCTGATCATTCTCCTCTCTGCAGTCTGTATGAGAACAGGAGTGTGATCACAGGACATGCTCTCAGGGGCTCTGCAAGAGCTGTTTCAGCGGACGAAAGCGGATTGACCAGAGCCTGAGGGAAGACTCCTCTCAGCACACTGATCTTTTGGTTGGGGCCTGATGAAAGCGAGAGAGAGAACACGGGTAGCTGACTGCAAGTGAGGGGGTTTGTCACATGACCTTGTCCCATATCAGAAGGTCCATGCCCTCCCCTCTCTCAAATGTTGTTTGGAGGATGCTTGATGTGTTGCATTTAGTAGATGCTTTTATCCAAAATGACTTTCACATGGCTATTAGAGAACAGGCTCAGCCAGTCCCTGGAACAACTGGGGTAAAGGGCCTTGCTAAGGCTCCAACAGTGACACCATTCTGCCAGCAAAGGGATTCAGATCAGAGATCGTATGATTAAGTGCACAGAGTCCTAATCTACCGAGTCACACACACCCATTGTTAAGGTGCCTATAAAATCAGTTAAGGGAGGGTTCATGCTAAGCCAAGGCTGTCAGAGGTCACAGGGGTCAAGAGGTCAGACATTAACCCCACGTTAACCCCGCAAGATCAGGATTTGGGGAAACAGTGAGGAATGTATGTTGAAGGTGAGATATCTTGCATTTGTTTTCTTTTTCTAGGCAGACAAAGGGTGACTGTCTGTGCCTGTGCCAGGCTTCATGTGTTGCACTGCAATCATGGAAATTCTTTGCTTCTGAAGCAGGCAGGAGGAAACATGGTGTCAGGAACTTTTAGCTCAATATTTAACCACATTTGCAGTACTTTACTTTGGGCTCAACTGTACATATCAGATTATTCATGTGTGTTGCTCTTACTTTTTCACTAAAAAATTCATTGATACTGAGTTTGAGCAGAGAGCTGTAATACAGTATAATTTAATTTACATTGATATTTGTGTTCAATGGTGTTTATATTTATCACATTTGTCTATAATAATCTTTAGAACCTTAATAGGGATAATAATAAGTAATGTATCAGCATATTATCATGTGCTATTAAATCATTTAAAAAACACTGGATGTTTATTGCTTATAGAACTATGTTTTACAATAGTTCTATCTGAAATAAATGAAAGCCACACTGAGCAACACCACCTGAACACACATAACAAAGAATTCAACTGAATAAGATGAACACTGGCTTGCAGTAGTTTAAACTATGGTAAATAGCTTTCTGAATACTAATAGGTTTTGTGAAAATAGCTGCTTGATGAATTACAGTGGCTCCCAAAGGTTTTGACACACTGTAAATGCTGGTAAAATGGACGCACCTTTACCTCATGCTGATCAAAACATTTTCATAACTGAGCTACAGTAAATATATTAGCTAATCCCCATGACCCAGGCCAATATAAAGCATAGAAAGATGAGTGCACAGTAGTGCAAAGCTCTCAGTGATTCTCATATTTATGCCCCCAAATGAGGGGCCACTTCTGCCCATTTCCCAGTGCTGGTAACACGTGATGTCTGTAGCCCTGTTTCACGGTGCCTCCACACTGCTGAGCTGATGTCACCGTGCAGTGCAGTGCAGTGTACCAGGACCCTGCGGCCAAAAATAAAGTGACTAGGCAACCTTATTTGTTTAGTCTCTTCAGCTCTGACAGTCCTTCATTTGTTTTTCTTGGATCCCTGAGGTGTTTCCTAATAAGTTCTGAACCCAAGCTAATGTGACTGGGCCACTTTCTTTACCCAGCCTTGGCTCTGCACTCTGCCTTCTCCCCATGCATATCCATCCTTCTGTATTTGTCATTTTCTCAGCCATTGTGTCCCAGTAGCCCTCCCTCTCCGTTCACTACACCACTTACCGTATGTTTAACATCTGTGCACCTGAGAGCTGCAGATGTGGGTCCCTATTGAGCAGGAAGGCGGGGCTGCCTGAGCGATGGCCAATCGCAGCACTGCCTATAGGGTGGCTTTCTGACCCAGATGGATATATAACGTGAGGGTGAGTAGCGGGAATGTCTGTTTGAGCCTTGCGTTGCTCCACCTGCCTGTCTGCATTTCCCAGTCTGTTCAGCATGTTAAGAAGCATGATCCTTCGATTCCTGCTTGTCTGTGGACTGGCACAGAACTCGCTGCAAGGAGGTAAGGGTGTGAGAGCGGCGGACAAGGGAGAAGGGGTCCCGGGCTGGCCGCTTTGGCAGGGCCCTCAAAGGGAAATTAGTGAGGTGAATGGAGTGAATAAATCACTCCCTCATTTTAAGAAATTATTGTATCATATCCAAAATGTGACCTCAGTTCTTTGGTTTGTTTAATATGTGTGAATTCACCCTGTTGATCTGCAGAATTCGAACCGCTTTAATCATTTTACTGTAACGTGGAATCTATTGTTAAAAACAGTTGTGAACTAAAGATCAAAGGAGTAGACTGGTAAAAGACTAGGAAAGTGCTGGATTTGCAGATCGGCCATAAGATAAATTATGTGTAAATGTATGTGTATGTGTGTGTGTGTATGTATGTATGTATATATATATATATATATATATATATATATAAACATCTGATTACATATGCATTGTGTGTTTATAATATATACATAGTCTCTCTCTCTCTCTCTCTCTCTCTCTCTATATATATATATATATATATGTAATTATTATTTTTTACACACATACACAAAAATAATGTTTTACATACTCACACATATGGCCCATATAGATATATACAGGTAGTCCTCCAGGAATATGGGTTCAGTTTCTGGCCTGGTTCTGTGTGTTTGCAGTTCCTGTGTGTTTTCTCGCTTGTTTAGGCAGGTTTCCTTCCGCTGCATTTCCCATGGCATGTAAGTCTGCTTCCTGTGAGGGGTGCGTCCCCTGCCCTACGCTTCCTGGCATTTTTATACAATTGACAGACCAAATGAATTGTTACACTCAGTCACATAAGGTTTGCAATGCATTAGCGTTTCAAACGCTGGAGTGGAAAATCATAGCCGTAAGAGTGGAGGAGCAAACTCCACCCTGGAGCTGAGGTATCAGATAGGAGGAAGCCTTAGAAAATGTAAAGAAAAGTTTCCACTGAAGCTTGTGTGTGCCTGCGACATTTCTGATGATCGTGTCAAAGCCGTAATAAAAGCAGCTTGGCAGAGGCTGGCTCTTCTGCAGGCTTCTCCATTACATAACTGTGAAGTTGCTCCATGGTCAGGGATCCCCTCTCTTCTCACATCAAAGGGAGCAGGGCACAGGTAGCAGTGGCTGTCGAAATCTGACAGCGCTGTGAGAGGAGAGCACTAACTCACCACTGGTGCTGGGCCGCCTTGGCGGTCCCAGTATGAATGGGCTGTTATTTGCCAGGCTTCTTACTGGGAGGGGATGCAGTTAGTGCTGACTGGATGGGCGGAGAGGGACACGTGCTTGGCTCCGCACAACAATATAGTCGCATGTTTAATCAGCCCAATCCCTTTAGACGTACGTTAAGTGATGCGATGAGGTGATATCTATCTTTCCGCATCCAGCACAGCTCTTTGACTTGTCGAGCTTCTCAGGTGTCCTCTCACTACTTCAGAATACATGAGCACAATGACCTGTGTACTGTACCATACCCCACATGGCTATTATAAAATGGTGTTTCTACAGGGATAAATTGTGATGAAGATAAACTAGAAAAGCATCCAGCTCATCAATCAACCTCTGACACTGTCAAACATCCAACATACAAATGATAAAAATTTTAGACTGTATAAACAATATATACATCTGTATGCATGTGTACATAACACAGATGCATAGATATTTACATAGTGCACAGGACTAGAACATCAACTCCTCTTAGTAGCATTGGCAACAATTATGAACAAATATGTACAAATACATGCTCCTACGTACAAATAAAAATCTGAGATGGAGATAGAGAGGAGATATTATTTCTGTGGGTTGTAGGCTTGGGAAGCACACAAGTCTTTTATTAGTCCCTGGTGTATGTTTGGAGGCAGCAGAGAGTTGGGGAGCTGAGCAGCCAAACAATGACCTGACTTCATGCCACCACCCATTAATTTTACATCACTACCTACTGACTTTTTTGGGATATGAGCTCTTTCATGTCGTATCCCATACAGGGTAAACCCCAGCCTTTTGCCCTATAATGGACTGGCATCCTATCCAGGGTGTACCCTGCCTTGTGCCCTGTGATAGACTGACATCCAGATCAGGGCGTACCCCGGCCCCGTCCCCTGTGATGGACTGGCATCCTGATCAGGGCGTACCCCGGCCACGTGCCCTGTGATGGACTGGCATCCTGATCAGGGTGTACCCTGGCCACGTGCCCTGTGATGGACTGGCATCCTGATCTGCCTGTACCCCAGCCCTGTGACATGTGCTGTGTATGATAGGCTCATTAGTATCCATTTATGCCTTGGCAGTTTACTTCTGTGAGTACTGTGCACTCCCGTTCTTCGCTACTTCTCTTCCCCCCATAGTCTAGCTTTCCTCCCCAGCCGTAATTCTTTCAGCCAGTTATTCATAGTAAATAGAGGTTCAGCACAGGCTCCATTACTTATCTGATTCCCACAATTACTTTGCATATTTTTGTGACGCATACAGACTCTTGTCTTGAGAAATAGCAGCCCAGTCTATAACTAACATCTCTTCATGCTGAGCCTCATAAACCCCTAAGAACTACTTTCCTTGCTCTTGTAAAAATTCCATTATCAGAAATGCCTTATGGTATCCCCAGTTGTACGTCATTGTTTTTGTGTCACTCACCTGTTAATATTTCTACAATATATGACACCATGTTCTTTTCTGCTTCTCAGGGGTTGGCCCACAGACTAGAGGCAGCATGGGGAGGCAGCTGATGCCACCCGGAGGTGACTGTTGACCTATTTTCAGCATTTAGTGTGTGGCTTTGTGTTTACTTTGAATGGGAATAAGTCACTGTGTTCATCAAATGTTCCTAGAGGTGGTCCAAGGTGCATATGTGCATGTTATTGGCCACCAAAAATGTTTCAACCTACTGCATGTAACATTGTATGACATTTAGTTATTATATTGATTAATTTATATAAATGATACTGATATAATAATACATACTCTACACAGAGCCGCTGCAATCCATACTTGTTTGTGGCATGTAGCAATTGTGTAAATAACCTCAAAGTCTATGGAATAAACCATAGAAATATTTCAATATACAGAATTGCCTGCCATTAATAATGTTTTAATGCCTTTAGATGTCTGTTTACCTCTGGTATATCTATGTGTTCCTGCTTCCTTTTGCAGGAGCCAGTGCAGCTCTTGGCATGCAGGGCAGTGCCGGGTATATGGGCAACCCCATTAAGGCAGCAGGTGAGGCAGGACAGACAGCTCATAGCTTCTATTATTACAGCTATACGAAATACTGAAGATTAAATAAAAATATTCAAGTCATTTATTTATTTTGAACTTTTAAAATATTATAAAGGTTAGTCCAAAGTGCTCTACAAGGCTAAAAAAGAATTCAAACTAACAAGACATGCAAAATCATCAAACAGACCCAACTGCTATTTGTCAAATTACAAAGAAAAATTAGACATGGAAAAGTGACAATGTATAATAAGGCAGAAAAATAAGTAATAACAAAAAGAAACCAATGATAAAACTAATACTAACAAATACTCAAAACTATAATGCTATAATCATACTAAAATCTAAAGCATCAAACGGGCCCAAACGCTAAAGAATAAAAATGAATTGTAAGCCATGATTTAGTGGTGATGCAGGGAGACAGATGGACCTGGAGTGGCGAGCTATTCCACAGAAACCCAATCATCTTTGTTTTTTAGATGGCTGTGTGAGATAGAAATAATTGATTTGAGGTTTTAAGACAGTGATTCCCAGTTAATCCAATAAATACAATGCTCTAACACTAAACAAAATATTAATGCATAAATTTATTAAAGATGTTTGCGGAACTTTTACTTGCAGATCAATGAACAGATTAATGACTGTCAAGGTTGGGGCTTTAGTGAGGAATGAACATTTTGGCTTCAGCAAACAGGAAAGGCACAGGAACACAGAGTGGCCATCAGGACTGGGCAGGTGTCCTGAGCTCGGGGCTGTCAGGCTACAAGGACAGATACATAAAGTCTCTATTTTTATGAACTACCTGCAGGTGAATGAGGGGGTTTAGCTCGGGCTAAAGTGATTAGCATGTGCGCCCAGGGTAACTGATGCTTGTGACAGTTCTGTCACTTGCTTCATATTTTGTCATATTTCTGGCAGAAATAAAAACTATTCATTATTCATCGTGTTTTTGAAATATTCAGACCTGGTGGATTTGGTGTGATTTGCATACTTGTACTTACTTTTTACTAATACTTTTTTTTTTTTTGGTAGCAATGTTTTATGGTCCTAATATATTGTATAGTTAAACAAAACCATTTCTGAAGATACAAGAAACTAAGTTTGTCATTATATAGCATAAATTATTATGAAGTTATTCTGATTACTCATGGCCTTATCCCAGCCCCTGCATAGGAATGGGTAAGTTACTGTACTGCTGCGGCATGTATATTTTTCTTTATTTGATTCCAATTGGACACACATGCTGAGGTACGCACTGGGCGCGTGTTTTCCAGGCGGATATGGGGGGCTTGGGAGGGGAGCCGTCCAGCAAGGATACGGTGTCCAGCCGGCCTACACAGGTGATCTGTCACTGCCTGATTTCATTGTATGATTTTAGCCACTGTGGCTGTGCTGCTAAAATAATAATTGCTGTAAGTTTAGGTGCTGCGTTTGGTGTGGGCACAGGAAGAGGGCTGGCTTTGGGCCCACAAGCTGGAAGGCAGGGAGCAGGTGAGCAACTGAAACAGGATCCACATTCCAGGCCAAGGACAAGTGTGGGTACAAGTGTCAAGCCTAACCGGTGTTCCTTGTTTTTATAGGATATGGCAGCACTGGCTATGGATACAAAGGAAATCCTTTAGGCGGTAAGTTTGACTATGGCTAATCAAATTAAAACCATATAATGTATGAGATTAAAAGAATACAGGTAATAGACTGACCCAGACAGTGATTGTGATTAAATGCTAATTTGGGTGTCATTGTTAAAACTTTGTCATGCACATAGTGCGGAGCTTCACCCTCATATACTTGTGCATCCCAGTGTGTGATTCCGAGCCCTGCCTTGGCTTTCAGGTTATGGGGCAGGTGCTGGCATGTTTGCCAGGCCAGGACTCGGCTTCGGTGCAGGTGGGCCAGCCTGCATCACCTCGTCTGCAGTTTAACATCAATTGGTGACATGTTTTCAGAGGCTGCAAAGCTGAGCTCATTCAGATATGTCTTTCTTTCAGGACTTGGAGCTGCTTTTGGAAGGAAAGGTCTAAAGCCAAGTCAGTTAGATTCTTTAAGGCTCAAATGTCTGTTATTTTGTGGTTTTGCTTTGCTTATCTGTTCTTTCTTTTGGGGTGGGGCTGGTTATAACTGGCAGCTTCGCCTGCTTTTCCTATAGAAATTTCCCAGGATAAGTGTAAAATTCCTCATGCTGTATGACTGGAACACTAACTGTGAAATCTGCTCCTCAGGTTATGGTGCTGCTGCTGGATATCCCAGCGGAGGCACCAAAGCAGGTAAAAAATACACCCCTGTTATCAGCACAGTCGTGTGGGTGAGGTTTAGGTACACAGACTACAAACACCACTGCTTTGAGCAGCCTCCACCTTTCTGAGAGCTGGACTTGGAGCCAGTGAGACAGTCTGGATCAGCGCGTCTCTGTGTCTCAGACGGCTGTATGCAGATATTAGGGCTCATTCAAACTCTCAGGCCCATCAGTTCACCAACAGAAGAGTAATTGTTTCGATTGGTTGACACATCTCAAGAATAAAGTGAAGGATGGATTATAATTCGTTTTAAAACAAATTTTATTGGTGTGCTATATTATGAGACATGTTGAAATATCTTTTTTATGGTCTTGTGTTTGTATAATGAGCATATGTAAATTACACATCAGGGTTTTCAGTATAATGCTTGTGGTCTGCAGGTTATGCTGCTGCTGCTGGTGTGTCTGACAGATGTTCTTATGTTCTTATGCTGCTGCTGCTGGTGTGTCTGACAGGCAGGGGGCAAGACCCACTGGTAACGTCTTTTGTTCAGCTGCTCAATTTCACCTAAATTTTGCATTTAGATCTTTCTGTATACCGTGCTCACAGAAAGTCTTGAGATGCTTCCTTAATTCAGGAAAAATATTACACATTTTTGGGCTTTATAACAGAAATCATTACTTTTTTCACTTGTTAAAAATATATTTCACATTTGAAATGACCAGGACATCTAAGTAAACATTAATTTCATGTAGCAATAAATTGAAACCTAAATTCTAGTTATTAAAGAGCTGTTCTGAGCTAAAAAGTTAATTGATAAGCTGTCTCATTGGGTGCTTCTTTAATTAGTAACACCTTTGCAATACCATGAAACGTCAAACATTTGTGGTTAATATCCCTTTTGAGACAATGACTACAACTACAATTAATACCAAAATGGCAAGAAAAAACTGAACGAGACAACTAAAAAATTACACTTAAGAAAAAGAAAATGTCTGTGCGAAAAATATGTGCAGATATGTTAAGCATCGCATTAGTTATGAAACAAATAAATTTGCAACACTTTTACAGAATTAAGTGAGCATCCCAAGACTTTCAATGAGCACTGTACATGTCTGTTTATGTTTTTATATATATTTTTCTGTATATACAGTACTGTGCAAAAGTCAAGAAAATTATGTTTAAATGACCTTTTTGTTGCTGTAAAACTCTGCTATTATGCCTGTCAAACTGTGTCAGCTTAGGCATTTCAAAACATCTGCTAATATCACCCCATTATTTCCAGTAACCATACAATGCACCCATGAATTTTTTGACTCGACCACTAGCACACCTCATATAGGTGATCAATACCTCATTGACTGTTTTAACTAATTAAGTTAATTAATTAACTGAGCTGGTAGTGAAATTTAATAAATACATGGAATGGCTGGGGTGCCCCTGAGGAGAGGTTTGGGAACTGAAGCGGTGTTCATCTAGCCATCCAACTAGTAACTTTTTGGAGAACAGAAGAAATTTTTGCTAGTTTTTATTATGTTACTCTTAATTTGCATGTGTTTTAATGTTAACATGTGTCTTTTGTTCTGAGCAAAGATGCACTTACTATCCAGATAAATAGCTTCAAACATTTCTTTTGACTGCCTAAGACTTTAGCACAGCGCTGCATGTTGTCTGATACTTTACAGTACTGTATTAGGGAATGATTCAGTACACAGTAGGGATGTCTTGCTAAGTGAAATATTTTTTTTTAAGTATTAATAGTTTCTCCTGCAGTCCAAAGATATACAGTTAGGCTAGCTGGCATCTTTACATCACCCACTGTGTGAGTGAGCACATGTTAATGTATGACCTCTGCTACGCATTGGCATCCCATCCAGTTCTGAACATTTTAAATGTGTCCATAACTGCTTTGGTTGTCAGGTTATGGTGCTGGTGTTGGTTACCCCTTTGGAGCTAAGGCCGCCAAACCAGGTAAAGTACAACCAAGCAAGAGAACACAAGTGTTTTTTTTATTTCTGTTAAGTTTGGGGTCTGTCCATCTTACAGCTTAAAAATCACTTATTACTTACAGATATTTAATATTAAACAATTATCGAAATTATTTGACAGTTATTAAGTGATTATCATGTGGGCAGCATGTGTCTCAGTGGGCCTGTAATTAGAAGGTCACCAGTTCAAACCCAGCATCTCCAGGTCCTTGAGCAAGGCCCTTAACCCCCAGCTCCCTGGGTGCTCCAACAGGCGGCTGCCCTTTGTGAACAACTTACTCTACAAAGAGCAAGTCGAGGGAGATAGTCAATGAAAGTTTAAAAAAAATAAAAAATGGAATTTTCATATTTTTACCGTGTTGCTGCTTCATGAAAGTTACATTTCAGACTGATTTGCTTTTTTGAATGTAATGTGCAATGTGGTATAGTTATTTTTTTTATGTAACTTTTAGTTTTATTTCTGTGAATGAGTATGTACATATGTGAACGAGAGTGTGCACATTTGTGAACAGGGTGTACCCATTTGGAAAGGTCTGTATATCATCCCCAGGTTATGGTGCTGCAGCTGGTGTTTCCAGCGGACTTGCGGTCGCACCCTTTGGTAATACATCCTTCTGCACTGTTTGTCTCAGTACCAATCCAAAATTTGAGTGCATTTACTCAGGTTTTCTTAATTATATTTACCAGTTAGAATATTTTGCAAATACCTTAAATAAGAAAAAATAATTAAAAGCCATAATAGGAATAACAGGCAGGTTCTGAAAGAAAAATTCTATTAATGTTTTCAAAATTCCTGAAAATAGCCACTGCTTGCCTTGATAACATCAGCACCAATATAAAGCATTTGGTCTGGGTACTGGGCAGGCCAGCAGACTGAACAGGCCAGGTCTTTAGTTTGAGTTGTTCTCCACTTTCCTTTTTTTTGCCAGATAGTTGTGCTTCATTTTGAGGTTCTTTTTGGACTGTTATTTTGCTGTAGAATGGAGGACTTTCCAGTGAGTCTTAATGCTGATGGAGTGGTATGCCTCTGAGGTTTGCTATTGCTGAGTTGGCTGAGATTGCCAAGGATTTGGTGCAGATCGCCAGCTCTGTCATCAACAAAGAAACCCCAGACCATGACACTGCCTACTCCAAGCATGACAGGGGGAGCTGCATCTGCTGAATTCATGTGCTTACCCTCTGTGTATCTTACAAATTTATATAGCTTATTGCAAATGATTGTGGTTTCAAGCAGGTGTACTCCAAATTTTAACTGGTGTTTTGTGCCGTCCATTTGAGATTCTGGATAGAAACCCACACTCAAATCAAATCCAAAATCCAAAAGAATTTGCAGTAGCTGTAGAATATACTTTAGAAGTAGTTTTTTTTTTATCTCATCTTTAAGTCTTTTGCTCATATTTTCTTTTTATGTGGGAGTATTTTGAATTGTTGTATTTGCTGCTTAAAACATGTTATGGAGCAAGAGACAGTTACAAAATAAGGTTTAGGGGTGGCACAGTGGTGCAGTGATACAGTGGTTTGCGCTGTTGCCTCACACCTCTAACACCAGGGTTCCGTGTGTGGACTTTGCATGTACTTCACGTGCTGCCATGGCTCCATGTGTATGGAGTTTGCATGTTCTCCCTGTGTCATCATGGGGCCAAATTGCATGTGTGAGTGTGCCCTGCGATGGGTTGGTGCCCCATCCTGGGTTGTTCTCTACCCTGCACCTATAGGCTCCAGAGACCCTGAATAGGACAAGCAGTTGCAGGAAATGGATGAAAAGAAGATCTAATCAAACTCTTCTTTTTGTTGTAAATTTTAGCTATGTCCAGTAAGTCAAAGTTGACTCCTGGCTGCTATATGTTGCCTATGAGCACTGCATTTTCTGCAAGATTGTATAATAATGAATAATGAGTGAATCAATGTGTAAAGACACTAATGTGATCCTTAGGGTATGGTGCTGGATACCCCAATGCAGCAGCTAGGGCAGCCAAAGCAGGTAAAACACACACTGTGGTCTGTTACCTCTTCTCTTTATAACCCAGGTCGAGCTCAAACCCTTCAGAAACTCTATAAATGATATGAGCTTGGAAGACAGATTGATTGATTGATGTTAAATCCTTTGTATATCAGTTTATGACATTGAAAAAAATATAATTAGTGATTTTTAAATTACTATTGTAAATAAATTATGTTGTGTTCTTTTTCCTCAAAATGACCCTTTGATAACTTTTTTAAGTAAAAACTTCTTTTGGTAACCTTTTGGAAACTTGGCAGATTCAGATTCCTAAGAAAATTGTTGATTGATCGTAAAGCCTGAGTAGAGAACCTGGATCTCTGGTCCTCAGGTAACCCTGCTGCTGCTGGATATCGTAATGGCGGCGGCATTAAAGCAGCCAGTGCAGGTGAAAATATACCCCTTTATCTACAGCCGCTGGTCTCCTTTTCATGCCTGAGTCACATTCGACATGTTTGTTTCATTTAAATTTCTCTTCAGGTTATGGTGCTGCAGTACCAAGTGTACAGGAGACCAAACCCACAGGTAAACCCTTTCACCGTTCCTTTACTGTCAAATATGTGAAAGTCTGTGCATTTACAATCTGTGTCATATGGCCTTTCCAGAATGTCAGCCTGTTACATTATTTCTCATCTACCCCTAAGAAACTTTTATAACTGTGATTATCAGGGCTATTGCTTGCTTTGTTTGTATTAGTTGTGAAAAAAATGTTTTAGCTGATTAATATGTTATTATACCTTTAATTTAGTTTTGTAAATATCTACAGTTTGAGATTTTTTCCCATTCCTTTATGCATTGTTTACTTTACATTTTTTTTATGTACTGTAGTGCTCTGATTGTGGAGCTAATTGCAGTACTGCTTCCATCTGTCTGTATTATTAAGCTTCCATCTTTGTCCCCAGGCTCTGGTGCAGGTACTGGATACCCCAGTGTAGGAGGTGTTAAAGCTGCCAAGCCAGGTAACTTTCACTAATGTGCCCTTTGTCCAAAGTTGGGCACTTCTGATTAACCCTGCCTGGTTTTTCAGTAATATATACACTGTAGTATGATGAGGAAAACCCTACTTCCAGGTGCAATGAATTTCATTTATAGAACATTATTCTTTTATATCTATATGAATTCATTGTGTGCAGTTCATGGTAGACTTTGTGTAACTTTTTCAAAACTGATTGTAAATCCAAACTTTGCAGATTTTACTGAATCTATTTTAGTTTATTCATCCCTTTATTGACATGGATCATTAACATGTATTATTTGCTCCTTAAGTTATTTAACTTGCAATGTAGCAATTTTTACTTTGTTAGCCTCAAATTGAATTTGGGGCTCATTCAACAGCAATGTCTCTTACCAGAAATTATGACCTATTTACTCAAGATAATCCACAGATTTTGTAGTGAACAGTTTTAATCTGGGAACTATTTCTTTCTACCGAACTCCACACACCCATCGTACCATTGTGCAGAATATACAAGCATGGTCACCCTGGCAATATCTTCTGCACAGTGATATGATTGGTGTGTGGAGTTCAGTAGAAGGAAATAGTTACTACATTAAACTGCTCACTACAAAGTCTGTGGATTATTGTGATTTTTCAAATGTACTTTTCTGGTACTTTAATCACCACAGAAAGAATGTCATTAACTCCCAATATACTCAAAGAAGCCTAAAACAAAACTAGGCAGCTAACAGCAAAATGACCCAGATGGATAGATAGCACTAAAGCCCCTCTAGAATATATTTTTTTCAGTTTTGGGGTGAACTGCCCCTCCAAGAGTTATGAGCAAATAAGTTCATTTATGAGTCATATCAATTTCCAGCATGGTAGATTAATAACAATGCATATAAGAACATAAGAAATTTACAAACGAGAGAAATTTTAGGTTATATTAGCTGTTCACAACAGAAAGCGAAGGAGTAATAAAAATTTGTTCTTTAGATGAAGGTTGATGTACACTAAGGAAATTTGTTTACTCTGTGAGGATACAAAAGACTTGCTAATTTTTTCTCCATTTCATGTTCTGGTGGTAGTTTCATTAATAAGTCAATAATACACAGTAGGACACAATGTAGCCTGTTACTTTATATACTGTACACTGACATTCATATATCCCTCAGGTTATGGTGCTGTAGCAGGTGTCCCCAGTGGACAGGGGGTAAAACCCACAGGTAATAGCCCACACTCAATGGTGTGTTTCAGTTATACTTGTACCCTGCTCTGTCTTGGGGAGAGTAGATTGCCCATAAAGATGAGTGTACACCCTACAATGGACTGCTATCCCATCCAGCCCTAACACGCAGGCAAAGCCAATTTACCATGCTGAGTGTCAGTTTTAAGTGCATGAAAAAAAAATGGTGTGATTCTGTTTGTAACAGTGTTCTTTTCAACTGACATATTTTGTTTCCATCGTGCAGAACATCACAGCGCAATGTAGTAGTGGAAGTTTGGCATGAAATTTTAGTACTTGTGGCTCAAAAATTGGAGATATGTTTTGTAACTAAAGTAAAATTATTGCTATAAATTCAAACAATACTTTGATGCCTCTTTGTTAAGATTTTTGTTAAGATTGTGTCATATGATAATAGAATGTGTGTGACATGTTGCTGTGGATGTAACCAGTTTATGAATCCCTGTTGTTTGTAGGTTATGGTGGTGCTGCTGGATATCCCAATAAAGGAGGGCTCAAGGTGGCCAGACCAGGTACAAACACATTGTCAATCTGGCAAGCAGGTGCTGGAAAGGCTAATTCAATGTATATTTTCATCAAAGTGAATCAGGAATACAGATGGCTGATGTGGCATTAAAAGAGTTTGTAGAAAAATGTGCATCTCCTGCAAAAATGGAAGAACCAGTAGCTTTGACCTGATAGTGCTGGAATTGAAAAGAGATAATGAGTAAATCTAGAACCAATGGGCATTTTATTAATAAGCATTAAAAATTATGTACAACAATCATTACTCTGTGTTCTTTAGGTTATGGTGCTGTTGCTGGATATCACAATATTGGAGCTAAAACATCCAAACCAGGTATGATAACCAATGGTGAAGCAATCTTCAGTGTTTAACTGATTTTTGAGGACTGATGTGTTTGGCCATTGGCACCCTTTTCTTGAGTTGATATCAACTGCCATTTAATAAATTACTTGATTCAAATAAATTGAGTGTTAATGAATAATTTAATTGGGGCAGCATGTGGCTCAGTGGGCTATGCCTCTGTGCCTGTGATCAGAAGGTTGGCCGTTTGAGCCTGTCCTTGCCATATCTCCTGGTCCATGACCAAGGCTCTTAACCCCCAACTCCCTGGGTGCTGTTCTGGGTGGTTGCCCTTTGTGGTCAGTTTGCTGTCACCTACAGAGAGCCAGGGGGGCTCTATCTATCTATCTATCTGTCTCTCTGTCTGTCTGCCTGTCTGTCCGTCTGTCCAACAGTGTGAAGTCATAAAAATGATACAGATTTCTCCATGAGAATGAAATGGTATAAAGTCTTCATTGTGTGTAATTTTATGTTATTTTAGCTTTCGCTTACCAGTGAACTTCATCGAATAACTAATAAATATCAGCACATAATCATCAGGCAGCATTTGTTATCTTGTCAAAGGACATTTTGTGTCCTGTAATACAGAGATAGTGTGCTTGAATAGTTGCATCACCATGTCTGTATCACCATAACTCATTATTTGTAAAATGTGTTTCTTAGAATCTAATATAATAAGAAGAATAAAATGAACCAGTGAATGATGTTGCTTTTCTGTTTACTAGGTTATGGGATGAAAGCTGGTGTACCCAATGGAGAGGTGCCTGAATCAGCAAATACAGGTAAGTCATCAATGTTTCATTTAAAAATCTTATGAATATCTTAGTAGCTGTTTGTCAGTTCATAATGGTGTACAACAGTTTACCTTTATGAAATTACTAGATTCAATCTTCTACTTGGTTGATGTCCAAACGAAAGACCACATCTACTTCATTGTTTAAATAATCTTGCTCCCTCTATAATTAGTTCATAGGAATCATCTTATATTCATTGTCTGTTTATTCTTCAGTATGTTTTTCAGTATCATTTTTAGTTACTCAACAAGTTTTTTTTTTTATGTAGACCTGCCTCACTGGGATTGTTTGTCATTTGACTGTTTTATGGTTCCCAGGTTATCATGTTGGAGGTTTTGGGTCTAAAGGACGGGTCACTAAGGGCTTGGGAATGGGCATGCCCACTGGAAAGAGCTACAAAAATATGGCAATGTTGCCTCAGGTGCAGGGCACTAAGGGTCTGGTCTCTTCGGGTCCACAAGGACAAAGTACTAAAGGTGTGGCTCCTGCAATGCCTGAAGCCCAGAGCACTAAGGGCTTAGCAATGGGCATGCCCACTGGGAAGAACTACAAAAACGTGCCCATCATGCCTCCAGAACAGGGCACTCAGGGTTTGGTCTCTTCGGGTCCTCAAGGACAAAGTACTAAAGGTGTGTCTCCTGCAATGCCTGAAGCCCAGAGCACTAAGGGCTTAGCAATGGGCATGCCCACTGGGAAGAGCTACAAAAATGTGGCCATCATGCCTCCGGAACCGGACATGAAAGGTCTTATGGTTCCTGAAGCACAGAATATCATGGGTGTAACTTCTGAAGTGCCTGAAGTACAGGGCACTAAAGGCAGTGGAGCTGGTCTGGCTGCTGGAAAGGGAATGGCTGTGGTACCTGTGGATCAGGGTTCAAAAGGAGTGGCCCAGGAGGCTAGAAGGACTGGGCCAATATTACCAGAGGGACAAGTGACTACTATCGGTAAACCTCCACTCCTGTTTTGTTATTTGTTTGTACTTTTCTTCTAACTTGTGTCCTAATCCATGTGTTAGTCCATGTGTCTTAATTTGTTGTCCTATTTGTTGTTATTTTATCATACTATTGTTACTTAATATATTAGTCTTCTCTGTACTTGTAATCTCTATATATTCTTGTAGGTGTAGATAAGGTTCTGCGGTGAGAGAGTCAATTTGATTATCCACCCTTTAATACAGGAGTAATAAACATGCACCATAAGAAACTCAAGTGAAACTGATGGTACATCAGTCAGTTTGAACTTCACACTAGTGAAGTGTTACTCTTAAATGGTTACTACTTCTAATCATATAATTTCCACCAGTTGAGTGGCATCATTGGTTGAGTAACATCTCTAAAAGTCTGTTGCTAGGTTTCTATTGTCTAAGTCAGTTTATTGCTAGATGCTTTCTCAGGAATCGTTGCCTTTGTATCCGCATTTAGAAAGCTAGCTATATACTCTAAACTTCAGTCAATAACATATGATTTTAGCATTAGTCCGCTGGCGCTGTCTCCACCACCGCCGCAGACGTTTTAGTATGTAAGGCGATAACTCAAAAACTGTGTGACGGAACTTTTTCAAATGCACAGGCTTTGTGTGAGTGTATTTGCCAGATTTTGTTCAGCCTTTGCAGATATGTTGGAAGGTTAAAGATCCTGAAATGATTAAATTTTGAGGCAAACTGCATCAAAACTGAAGCAGCACCATAAAGTGATAGCAAAGAAAAGGTCAGCTCAGACATTTAATCTTGTCATCATGATAACTCAAAAATTATTTGCCCGATTATTTCCAAACTGGACTGGTTCAAATTTTGCAACAAACTGCACCAATATTGAAGCAATGGTGCTTAGTGGCAGCAAAGACAAGGATGAGATGATTAGAGGCTTATCCTTGTGAATAGGATCAATCTCTCTGTTATTATTTGTTCTGTTTACTCTACTTGAACTTGAATGATTTTACCGCATTACCATTTCACAATAACATTTTACGGATGAAAATCTATAGCTAGAAAGTAACACTTGGTCAGATTCAAATCACGTTGTAACTGCAACAGCAAAGCGCAGCAAAATCGGAAATGCAAACTAGAGGGCAGCCGAGAAACGTAATTGCTAGTCATCATCTTGTGAATGCAGCCATCTGCCATCTAACGTTATTCTATGGATCATTATGTAAACTTCCCAGGAACATTGTGCAGGTCAGTAATACTAAAACTGTGCAATTTTCAATTTTTATTTTTTTTTTTGCCAGTCTCCCCCGTTTGGAAAATTTTATTGGTTGTAGTCTGGTAACTGGTTGGCTGGAAACACATCTTGGGTGAATTGGCAAAATTTATTGTGGGACAATTTAATTGTGTCACAGTTTATTTCTTTTGGAGCTGTGAGGAGAGGCAGGCTTGTAATAATATTTTCTTTAGACTGCAATATTTTCATTCAAACATTTATTGGACAGACTAAAACTAAATGTTTTTTGAACATAAATATGAATCGAAATAGACAGGATACAATATTATTCCAAATAAATAAACTTAAACTTAAAATAACTTAAAATATTTTACTCTCCATAAAAATATCTCCTGTCAAAATTATACAAATTCAAAATATTAATATGCTGCAAAAAACCTGAAAATATAAATAAAAAATATGCTTTTAAGTGAAAGTTAAAATAATAACAAATCAAAACATTACATTTTCTTTGCTCTTATGCCATTCTGCCAGAGCTGGATGCTTGGCATCTTTTCTTGGCAACAAGTTCGTTTATGTTTGGGGTATAGGGTTCTGTGTTGTGGAGATTCTTGCTCAGCCACATTAGCTCCACAAATAAGACACACGGGTTTACAGGCAATGCCAGTAATTAAAAAAAAGATATATAAAATTATCTGGGGGTGGCATGGTGGTGCAGTGGTTAGCACTGTTGCCTCACACCTGTGGGACCTGGGTTTGAGTCTTTGCCTGGGTTACGTGTGTGTGGAGTTTACATGTTCTCTCCGTGTCATCATGGGGTTTCCTCCAGGTACTCCAGTTTCCTCCCACAGTCCCAAAACATGCTGAGGCTAATTGGAGTTACTGAATTGCCCATAGGTGTGCTTGTGTGAGTGAATGGTGTGTGTGAGTGTGCTCTGTGATGGACTGGCCCCCCATCCAGCATTGTTCCCTGCCCCGTGCCCATTGCTTCCAGGATAGGCTCCAGGCCCCCACAACCCAGTAGGATAAGCGGGTTGGAAAATGGATGGATGGAAAATTATCATGCAGGCCGGGTATAATTGTACGCCGAGCCAGATGTGGCCCTTGAGTTTGACACATGTGCTCTAAGTAAGTAAAAATATTTAAATTGTAAATACTGTTCTTGTGGATTTTAGCTAATCCAATTTATATACTATACATAAGAACATTCATTTTTGTTCAGTTTTTTATTGTGCAAAAGGAACATGGCAGTCTGAGTGACAGGGGCCCTAAAAAATTAGGAAAATAACTGGATTGGTTTGGACTGGGGGGCGTAATATGATATGCTTTCATGGGGCCCAAAATCTCTAGCAACGCCCCTGCATGCAGTTAAGGGTCTTCGTAAACGTGAGGATTTGAGTTTGCACCTGTCATAAATTACGCAATAAATAAAATGTTACGCAAAATAAAATAAAAGGTTGTGTCAGGTTCAGCCAATATGGGATGAGATTTCATATTTTCAGATTGCTATCCTCCTCCGAGTAAGTTAAATCGTGGGGACTTGGGGAGGTGAGGGAGTGGCCTCCCTTATTTTTAAAAATCAAAAGTCATGATTAATAGTTTGATAAACAAAGGTGTGCGTCTCTAGTTAGTCAAACACAACAACACAGTGAGGGAAAACTGAGATTCTGAAAAAGCTAATTGATGTGTCTTAATTCTTGGGTTGACAGCAGTTGGGATTATGATGATATTTTGGAATTTGTGGTGTTTTGCGGTTGCAGTGTAACATAAAGCAAAAAGTAATGTAAACCTCATTTAAATAAAAAGGGAAAATCATAAAAAAACATAAATATGTGAATGGTAACTACATGACCACAACGTGTAGTTTTTGTCCATGAAAGTGCAGGAGAAGAAATTTGGGATGGAAGACATATTATACATTATTATGAAGATATGGGCTCAGAGATATATGCATATACTATTAGCAAGTACAGTATTAAGTTTTAGATGACCATAACACCCAATTTCCACCATAGAATTAATTGAAGATTTATGCTAGGTATAGCTGAATAACACAAAGTTGGATTGGGAGGCAGATTATGCACAATTACAGAGATTTTAGCAAATAAATTTACTATCGTACAACCCCAAATATTTCATTTAACAAATAACCAAAAGGTAACCACCTAATAAATGGGGGAAGATTCTGTAAATTGTCATATAAATGGAACGTGCAATAAATGAATGAGTATACTGTAAGACCTACATATCATGACAAGGACTAACAGCATTCAAGTAAAAACACATTAACTTTCACATTTCCAGGTGATCCATTCAGTACTTCTAGAAATTGTACAAGTTGGTCAGTGTGGAAATGAGTATGGCTTTGACAACAGAACCAAATGCCAATGCCATTTTTTCCCGATGGCACCAAATCTAGTTGGTTAATATTTTAGCCTGTGGTCAATTGCAGTGATAACTGTTAAAGGTGTACTGAAAAAAATCATTTAATTTTTGACATTGCTATAATTAGCAGCAATGTCATTAACATTTAGAATATTGATTGATTTTTGAAATTTACACAAGCTAACAGAGTTTGGCCAGTGTTTTAGTTTTAGTGGTGTGAAACTTCAATTTCCTATGATGTTTTAATACTGTGATTGAAATGTTATATCAGCAGATGCTGTAACTGGCAGATATAATGGAAAGGCAGAACAGTTCTATTCTGTCTCCTGTTTTATTTTATGTGTTCACCGTGGGTTCTTGAATTGTTTTGTTATTGTCCATGTAAATTATCTCTGCTTGTAAAGAAGCTCCTGGTGAACTGTGGTTTATCAGTGAGTCAGCACCAGACAATGATCATGCGGTAACAGGAGGTCAAAACCAGCAAAAGTGGGTAAACTTCAAATCCAGTGTTTTTCTCTAGGAATCTGTATCGAAAATAAGTGTCCTAATCACTTTAATCACTGCTTGTAATCACAAGGTCGCTGGTTCAAACCCAGCCTCAGCATGTCTGCAGGTCCTTGAGCGAGGCCCTTAACCCCCAGCTCCCTGGGCGCTGCCATGAGTGGCTGCCCTTCACAGACAGCTTGCTTACAAAGAGCAAGCTGAGGGAGGCATAAAAAAAGACAATTTCCCCACAGGGATTAATGAAGTGACGTTGATGATCATTATTATTATAAGAAGTACTTTATTTCATATTCCAAATCCTCGCATATAGTTGAGTTGTACTGAGCTTTGTCTGTTTAATGACGTAATAATTAATGATGTAATAATTAACGTAGTAATTCATAATGATTCTTCATGTTTCTCCACAGCAGGTGCTTATGGTTCCAGTTGTAACACTGTTACTGGTATTTTAGATCATTGTAGCTCTCTAAAGTGGTGGAATATTGTTTTCTCAAACTCCACAAGAATGACAATTTAAAATTGATATTAGTACTAATAATGTGTCACGTTAGCACTTAACCCCCAGAGTGCTTGATCTCCACATGAAGGGGGTTGAAGGAGTCAAACCAGGTTAAGCTCCACTTTTCTTTGAATCGGTGCTCCATATCATGGTTGATTCATCTGTCTCAGGCACATTTGTATTCCTAAGTCCTAGAAAGTTCTGGTGTCTGAACCAACTAATTTCTCTTTGTCATTCTGTCCCTCTTAAAAATGTATAGGCTGTTGTTTCATGTTACTTGGTGTGTGTTAATCTGTGTTTCACTGACCCTTCGCTTCATTTGTCTTTTGTGTTGAGTGATGAAGATGCAGACACCATTTCTGCATCGAAGGCAATCACTCTGTTCATAGTTAGCTTGCCAATCTTGAACAGAGCTTACATGCAAAAGAAACATGAAATTCACTCAGCGTTGTATTGATTGTGTTCACTGCAGGATACGGTCCTGGAACAGGGAGCTACCTTGGCATGGCACTTGGCAATGGTTATGGAGCAGGTAATGACAGCAGTGAACTGGCGTTGTAGTCATCATTCTGATTGCCCTCGGTTTGTGTCATATTTGTAAAATAGCCACTGAATGTGGAGTAGAGAAAAGAGAAGTTATCAGTGGGATAATATCAGAATTACAGGAACTCACCTTCACTTAATTGAAGCTCAAGAGCTATTGAAGCTTTTGATGTCAATATTTAATAAATGCAGTGTTCCTTCTGTTGGGGTACTTCCTACCCATAAGGGCAATGAATGTAACTATCCATACTTATATCCAGTCAGTCCTGGAATGATGCTTTCTATAGACATTTTTTGTACTTTTTATGCTTCTGTACATTTCCCTCCATAGTTACATAAAAGCTAATAAAAGAAGAATAGTAGAGAAACTTTTAATTCACTTAACTTTTATCAGTGCTGCTCAATAAAATACTTGTATATGCATTGTTTTTGAAATACCTGCATCTTACTAACAATAATCTGTTTGCTTGTACTCTTTAAACAAGAACTCAGATTTATGAATTACCCTTCTCGAACATACTAGAGTGCAGCCAACAGAAAGATCCCATTAGAATAAAGGTTCAACAATGAATTCGGTCTAATCTCTGTTGTGCAGCTCTTGATCAAGGTGGATTTCCCCAGGCATGCTGCTATACCAGTATTCTCCAATTAGTTTTCCCCAAGGGCCAAATTCTATCAATAACACAAAGCCAAGGGCCACTGCTAGGGATGGGTCATACCACTCATTTTCTTATCAATCCAGTATTAAGTAATATCAAGGTAGGAATTGCGATGCTGATCCCAATACCAAAATTCTGGGTGCTGACAATTAAAACATCCTACTCCGTGTAATAGAAGCATTTAAACTACTGGGTAAAAAAAAATCAATATTTTGACTTTCAAAATGAAACCGTCACAAGGAACACACACTTACACCACTTGACCTAACTGCATGCCTTTGTTTTATGGAAGAAGTCCCACATACAGTACAGTACATACTCCATGTGCACAGCACAGCGATGAGATTCATACCCCCAGCCCCAGAAGTGTCACCATTTCACCCTTTGTTATCATTCTTATTACATGTAGGCAAACTGACAGCTCACTTCAGGGTGATTTGCAGCATTTAAATCCAGCTACACAGATCTAAATAAACCATGCCCATGACCAATCCTCTGTATAATGTGCCCCATTCTCCCTTCTGTGATTCTCTGACATCCCTCCAGGTACCATTGCAGGTTATGGAAAAGGACAAGGTGCTTACCTTGGCATGGGTCTGGGTACTGGCTATGGGAATGGTGAGCACCCGATACCTTTCAGTTAATGTAAAATATCTATATGGGAATGGTGAGCGCCCACACCTTCTGGTTAATGTAAAATATCTATATGGGAATGGTGAGCGCCCACACCTTCTGGTTAATGTAAAATATCTATATGGGAATGGTGAGCGCCCACACCTTCTGGTTAATGTAAAAGATCTATATGGGAATGGTGAGCGCCCACACCTTCTGGTTAATTGAAAAGATCTATGTGGGATTTTCACTGGCATAGACATCTGCATATACAGTAGTAGGCCAGCAGCAACTAATTGAATCTGAACTACTAACTACACTATGATACATTAATATTGGGCAATTGACTTTTATATTAATAGAACAAAATTTTGTACATTTTCTATGTTGCAGTATTTTTTTTTTTTGCAAAAACCAAAATATTCCTTTTTGATTCTTTTTTGTTTAAGGTCAAGCTGACTTAGGAAGTAAAGCAAAATCTGCAGGTATTTCAGCATTACTGTGTCTATCTGTGTATTTTTGTTAAAAGGTTAATGTGAAATGATTTAATAATCAAATAGACATATTATAGAATACTACACTAATATCTAATATAAGGGCAGGAAGTATGTGCTGTTTAATGACTTTAAACATTGTGTAATCAGAGCGAGGCTGATTTAGGTATGGAATACCCATTTCCTTCTTATCTCAGAATAAAATGTTCACTTTCTCTTGCCCACAGGCTATGGTGATGGTGTCCGCAATGGTATGAGTAAGCATTTGATTGTCGTTACCTATTAAATCAATCAATCAAATATCTTTTAACTTGTACTCCCAGGTCTATTGATAATTCCGATTCCAAAGTGTAATGTTTTTCCAGGCTACCCTAGTGTGCCCACTGACCTTGCTGCACTAGGGGCTAAAGCTGGAAAAGGAGCAGGTAACTGAATAATACAATGTGTTGTTCCAGTAATTACAATACATAACAATTATGGTAATAATTACAATTTATCAGTGCATGACAGTAATTTTGTGCTTTAAATGCTGCAGGGACAGGCTATCCTAGTCTGCCAGTTGACCTCAGCGTCCTGGGGGCCAAAGCAGACAAGAGAGCAGGTAATTCAATCTGATTATAAATCATATAATGTGCTCTCTTCTGCATTGTCTGCAAATGGCTTTTCTGATGTGTGGTTTATACTGTGCCAGGTGCAAGCCTAGATATCATAAATAAATGTGGGCATTATGTGTAAAGAGTATGTAGTTCATGATTTGTGTTTTCTGGTGTCATGTAGGTCTGGGGAGCAGTGCTTACGATGGCCAGAGTCTGGGAGCTAGCCTTCTTGGACGAGAGGGCAAGTCCACCAGTTATGGTGAGAGAGGACCTGAAACTGCAAGAGAGAGAACAAAAGAAAGACAATGAATAGGAAAAGAATGTTCTGAATCCATTAGGGTTACCAGACTTAACTTTTGAATATCATTCATATCTTTGCATGTCTTAGTCTTTCACTCATTTTTGCTTACCAAGGATTCGGCCTTGTCTCCAGGCCCTGTTCCCTCATGCAGTGTTGTGTCTGTACCTCCAGAGGGCACTGCTAACAGCGCTGCTGCAGCTGCAACTCCTGCCCAGTTCCCCTACGGGGGTCAGCCAGTGGTTTCGGCTGGGTTGGGACCTGAGAGCGAGGCGGGTGCTTACGGGGCAGGGCAGCTGCCCTACGCAGGGCAACCCATCCAGCCAGCGGGGATTGGAGCCGACCCAGGACTGGCTGAATACGGTAAGAGAGAGAGAGTCTCTAACTGAGGTGGTATGATGGGAGGATAAAGGTTCCTATGAACCTGACCAGGATAAGCAGTGAGAAGGTGGATGGATGGCACAGTTGCCCAGCCAAGTCGTCTATATCTGTGTCTGTGTCAGACAGAAGGCTGGAAGTGGGTGTAGTTTATACTGGAAGTGCCATAATTTCTAACCTAATATTCACTGCCAATTCAATTGTTTTGCCTTAACTAAACTAATTATGAACTGTCTGAACCACCCCCCACCCCTGGGGGACATTGATCAATCAATAACTGAAAAAAAAAGTTTTATAATAAAAACATTCTGTATGACATTGGACATAGAACCTGTATGCCATAAAGATATATAGAAAAAAAATCCTTCAGTTGAAGGGAATAATCATAAATTCCAATGATGCAGCATTCACGTTTGTTGGTGTTAATATTACAGCAGTTCGCTAGGTAAACATGAGTTACAACAGTAAATACATAATTGAATTGAATTGAATTGAAAATCTCATGCCAGCCAGCTGACCAAAGATAGTGGCACTGTTAAAGTCCTACACATTTATTAAACATAAGGATGTGCCAAATTTCTACAGATTACTAATTTGTTAGGTGCAATAATAATCTGCTTAGAAAATTATGGGCATAAGTTAATGTCCATATAATACCGAATCACCGGTGCACAGACAAATGTTTCATCTAAAGCCATATATATGTGCCATATAATCACGAGCACATCGCAATGTGGTATCATGAAACCCTACCTTGACATGCCAACGCGCCAACTATTGCTGTGCAATCTGTGATTTGTAGTGCCATTTATGTGTGTGCTGTACTCTGGTGGGCCAGTTCTGGTAGATATAAGATATTATTGCATGGGCTGGATGTGTCCCATGGATCTTTATAAGAACATAAGAAATTTACAAACGAGAGGAGGCCAATCGACAGATCAGGGTCGTTTGGGGAGAACTTAACTAATAGCTCAGAGTTGTTAAAATCTTATCTAGCTCTGATTTAAAGGAACCCAGGGTTTTAGCTTGCACTACATGAACAGGAAGACTATTCCATACTCTAACTACATGATGTGTTTTCTCAAATTCAGTTTAAAATGTTCTCCCGCTAATTTCCAATTTTGACCACGAGTTCTAGTATTTAAACTAATATTGAAGTAGTCATTTGGCTGAACAGCATCCAGAACTGTTACAATCTTATATACCTGTATCATGTCCCCCCTTAATCTCCTTTGCGCGAGGCTGAACAGATTCAGCTTGCTTCCCCACACTGGCGAGAGTGGGACATGGAAGCAACAACATACATACCAAGGTCTTTCTCGTAATCAGCTACCTTTATTTCAGTGGAACCCATAAAATATCTGTATTTTATATTGTTGCTCCCTGCATGGATTACCTTACATTTATCTATGTAAAATTTCATCTGCCAGGTATCAGCCCAGTCGCTAATTAAATCAAGATCCTGTTGTAGCTACTGTGCTGCGTACATTACGTAAATTAGGAACAATAGTGGTCCTAAAATTGAACCCTGCGATACCCCACTATGAACGCAGGCCCACTGTGACATTGTGCCTCTAATAACTACCTGCTACTTCCTGTCTGTTCAGTTTGACACCCCTATCTTAAAGTGACAAAATGGCACATAAACAAAGATCTGCTGTCTTTGCCACATTTAGCTTGGTAATGACTGTACTTCATGCTGTGGCATGCAGTATTTTGAAGGTATTTTCAAAAGCAATGCTGTTCCAGCTTATGGATCTTGGCAATAAAATTTACTGGGGGGGGTGGGGGTGGGGTGTCACTAAGTTTGTTGCCAAGATTTCCAAATACTGTGTTGTTATGTTTTATTGTAATACTACCTAAGCCTAGTAACTTTAAAACTGTTCGTTACAATAAATCTGCCTCTGCTGGTCTGGAGGTATAGAACACCAATGTTAACGTTGAGATGTGTTGATGTCTTTATATGCAATTTATGCCGCACACCACACAAATGTAATCAGGTTGGGTTGGTTCAGGTTGGGGATCATGCACTGGTACTCACGTCGCCATACACACTACATAATGAATTACCGTGGGATCCAATTTGGCAACCCCCCCCCACGCCCACCACCCCAAGCCGCCACACGGTCCAGTCCCACCCGCCAGAAATGGCCATATATCTGCTACAGTCAGGTGTTACATGGGCGTCCCCTTGGCCTGGTCCAGCCGCTGGAGTTCTCAGAATTGAGGATCCTCCGGGCCAGATCGCCCTCAGAGAACATGGCTGCAGTGCCGTAACTGATGCTCCCACACAATACAGGTAATGTGCCTCATTCAGAACTTCCTGAGCAACCACTAGTTCAACACAAAGTCAAACCAGCAGTACCCAAGGATTCTCCAAAGGGACACAGTACCAAAGGAGTCCAGTCTTCTTCTCAGGTCACTGGATAGCATCCATGTCTCACAGTTTGGACCTTCATCCTCCTTACAAAGATATCACGATCACCACACACCCCTTTCCAGTGATCTCATGACCCCCAATGCTCTCCCATTCCATCTCCTGACTTCATAGGAAGAGTCACTAGAGACATGAATGTCGCTGCTGAGGTAAGTGAACCTTTCGATGAGGTCAACATTCTCTTTGCAGACAGGCACACTGCTGATGACTGGTAATTAAAGGCCTGGATCTTGGTTTTTATCCAGGACGCTCACAAGCCTAGACACTCAGACTCCTAGCCACAATTAGAGCCTCCATTGACACCATGAAGATTACAGCATTGTCGGAAAAATCAAGATCAGTGAATCTTTCTTCACCGGCATAAACCCCACAATGGCTGGACCCCACGACTGACCAAAACCCAGTCCATGTAAGCCAGGTGATCACCCTTCCCTTTCCATATAGGGACAAGAAGTTCCATTTTCCAGTCAGTTGGGATTACGCCTGTCTCCCAAATATAACCAAAATTCCAGGAGGACAGTCTTATCACCAGCCTGGAGAAGTCTGGATACCACCAATCTGTCTGGTCTTTGTTCACCACCTGTGCAATGTCAGTGAGTTTGGGTGGCTCACAGCTAATCTGAGGACCAGTCTCTAGAACTGTGGACCCAGAGATGTCCAACATCCTAGCTAGAGGATCAATTTTAAACAGCTGCTCAAAGGAGCCAGCCCAACGGTTCACAACTGCAGTGTCATCCATAAGGACTGTTTCATCACCCTCCCTGACTGTGTGAGGAACAGATTTGGATGTGCATAATGCTTTGATTCCACTGTAAGCAGGATGTGGATTACAAGACCATAGATGGTATGTCATTTGCCCACAGATTCTTCTAACAACTGTCTCCTTATCTGCACTCAGGGCACTCGCACCCATACTTCTCAGATACCGTTACAGACCGGAGTTGCCTTCAAGCTGTGCACTGTGACTTCTCTTAATAATACCCTGCGATATGAAACACCTTCTTCTGCAAAAACCGGCAACACCAACACAACCCTCATCAGCCATCAGGGTCTTGTCACGGAAGGTCTCCGACATCACATTACAATTGGAGGTTGCATCCAAGTCTGCAAATTCTTCACCCAAGTTGTATGCATACTCTTTAGAAATAGCCTGATCTTGGAATTTGACCATGTCCAGCCTCATTCTCCTAGTAGGTGGTTGCCTTCTGGACCTAAGCTAAATCTTAAGAGTAGCAACCACAAGTCTGTGGTCAGAATTCACAAATTAGACACTTCTGTAGACCCTGTAGTTCTGTAGGAGCCTCCAGCATCTGCCCATGAGGATGTGATCGATTTCTTTCACCACACCACCAGTATTGGAGTACCAAGGCTTATGGTGCTGGAACCAGGATCCAGCAACCAGTGACCCACAGCCCCTGACCTTTTGTAAAGTCAAATAACATGGAGCCACTTTCACCACAGTGGTCAGACCTATGGGGACCAACACAATCCTCATAGCCAGCCCTGTCAGTGCCAGTAGTCGCACTAAAAGTCACCCATGATCAGAGGAGTGTCACCTTATTGGTACCCATCAACCACCAAGCAAAGTTCAGAATAAAATGTCTCCATCGAAACATCACTCGGACCACAGGCGGAGCATACATTGAGACAACGGTCACATAATCCAGAGTGCCTTAGCCTGAGTCTCATAATACGGCTGTTGAAAGGGGTGACATCAAACACCATTGGGATGAACCAGTCCGCCTTCCTGTGGGTAGCTGCAGTAGAGCTACTCCCACGGAGAGCAGAAAAGAGTCCTGTCTGCTTTGTCGGAGCTATGTGAAGTTTTTACGGTGACTGGAGTCCCAATCCCCTCACCAACCCCCAAGTTTTTCTCTACAGGTAGAAGGACCGCTTGCAGGGCCGGATGTAATTTAATGTCATACAAACGAGAGGAGGCCATTCGGCCCATCGAGCTCACTTGGGGTGAACTTAACTAATAGCTCAGAGTTGTTAAAATCTTATCTAGCTCTGATTTAAAGGAACCCAAGGATTCAGCTTGCACTACGTTATCAGGAAGACTATTCCACACTCTGACTACACGCTGTGTAAAGAAGTGCTTCCTTAAATCCATTTCAGGTTTTACATATTGTGACTGATTTTCTTTGTGTAGAACACCTGGTAAATCATATATGTTTAATTGCAGGTGGACTCGGTGCTGAACTAGGAACAGAAACCACAACGGGCAAATACGGTAAAGCCCTTATTTTATTCTCCTTATTGTCATTTGCTCCGCAGGTTCTATAATTCAGTTTAACTTACATTCTTGCAGTCCATCTGTATAAAATAATGGATATACATTTGTGAGGCTACGCACAGTGCTCACATATTTGTTTTCAAAAATAAATATATAAATGAAGAAAATATCAAGAATAGATTTACACTATTGTGATGAAGACAATATGCAGTATGCAGGAAATATTGTCTCATATATTTATATTTCTTTTCCTTTCTTAGTGGGTGGCAGCCAGCTCCTTTACAATGGTGCCCCCATTATTCCCGCTGGTCTGGACGGTAAGGACCACATGTCCCTCCTCACTCTTCTTCAGGCCAGGAGAGTTCCTGCTCCTTTGACTTCTCCTCACTTCCTCTGAAGTTTCCCTTAGCAGCCCCTCTCTTTCCTTGCTGTTCTCCCTGTTCTACCGCTGTCCACCTTTGGACCCCTCTCAGTAGCAGTATTTTGGCACTCTGAGGGCAGACATGTGCAGGCACTCTCCCATATCTGCCACTGACGTCAAAGTGTGCGACTCCTCACCTGCTCTGGAAGGGGCCAGCAGAAAACTAGGAAAAGGCCACCATCTGTCCAAAGCCAGCGTTAGCTAAACTAGATAGAACTACTGATTGATAGAATAAAATAAAGATGCCTCATATTAAAATAGTAGATGAGTCTCATTTCCAAAGGTGGAAAATGATACTGTTCCCTTTGACAGTTTTTTTTTTTTTTACATTCCATGCCTTAAACTTGATAAAAGCACCAGCTTGTATCCGGCAGAAGTAGATGAAGGGATGTGGAGACTATCGACATGTTTCTGTAGCTTCATGCTGTCTGCACTTATTTGAAAGACCATTACATTGCTTTCTTTTTGTTTAATTTCTGTTTATATCATGTGATTTTTCTTTTTTATTACCTGCATAAAATTAAAGCCTTCTTTGGCTATTTTGTTGCTGTGCTAGACTGTCCTGATTATGGTGTTACTCTGTCCTAAACACAGTCTTACTCAATCCTGTTTACAGTGTTATTTTGTACAGATTATAGCATGTTACTGATTACTGTGTTCCTCTCTCCTAAATACAGTGTTACATTGTTTGGAGTTAGGGGTGGAGCCGAACCCGAATACGGTATTCGGAAAGGCACAAATAATGTGTTTTTTACGAATACTTAT